AAATTATGCAAATGAGGTCCTGATTTGAATACATTATGTTTAATGATGTTCACCTTCACTGTACTTTCAAAGACCATAAATATGAAATTCCAGGCAGTTATCATTACAGAATTATAACATTTTCTCATTAATTATGCAAATTAAGTCTTCATTTACATAATCAATATCTGCCTGTGTTTATCTCGTTCTCAATTACCAATGCGACAAGCTTCAATAGTCCTATGATGGAATGCAGCTGATTTATAGAATTTCTCCATAAATTATGCAAATTACATCCATATTTGCATAATTGTCACATAATTATATTAAGCATCACTTAAGCTACCTGCATACCAAAATCACGACGATCCGTCAACCGATTCTTGAGTTATTCTCTTTTGAATATATTCAAACAGATAGTCCGGCAGTTCCAGAGCAAGCCGCTAGGGGGCTCACGTCACTTCTTTCCCAGCACAAGAGCTACGTGCCATCTGAATTTCGTCACCCTGGCATATCTGGATCATGAGATATCAAAACCGGAAGTTCAGCTGCAGTACCGTAACAAGCTGCTAGGGGGCCCAAAATCTAATCATTTTGAGGTCTCATTAAGACCTACCCACCTACTAAGTATCAAGACAATCCATCAAGGCCTTCTCAAGTTATCGTGTTTACAGACACACACACACACACACACGCGCATACACGAACGCCTCTGAAAACATAACCTTCTTGGCGAAGGTAAAGATCGGACTATCATGGTCAGCCCCACCGTCTTACCGTGCCTGTACCTAATTAAGCGCGCCTGGAGTTGCCGTAATCACCGCGAGTGTTACTACCGTCGGCCAGATAACCAGGATATCTGCTTACAGTACCTCTGCTACCAGACAACTGCCTAAACCTACGGCCTATTCCACAGGATTGTAAAAGTAGGGATGTTTCTAAAATATGCATTTACTCCAATATCAAAACAGCTACGGTAAAAATAAAAAGACGTGCATCATCCCGGACATAATGCAACACCTCATGCGAAATTACACAGAAATGCGACGTACGGAAGAATGCGTTCTGGCTGCGAACATCTTCCAAAAAACTTGGCATCTCTTAACCATGGGCAAAAACATCTGGAACCACTTATAAAAACCACCCCGTATCTGCATGAACTTTTACCCCCCCCCACTGCTATTCCAAACAACGCGTTTTTCTGGACCATTCCAATTCGCCTCGTAATTGTAGGGGTGCGTCTGCGATATTACATTGACCGCGAAAGCAGCAACGGCAAAAATACACATTCGTGCATCAACACGGGCATGCCCGCAGACGGCGTATAAAATTGCGTGCCGATTACACAAAGAGAACCCAGTGTTTTGACTGCGAACATGAAAAATCAGCCGATTACAACACTCCGTCCGGAGGTCCTGACCTCCTTCACGGAGTAATAACTCGTTCTGATGATTCGTACTGCAGCTAGGTGTTGCTGCCACAATGTCATAAATGCAGTCCCAAAACGTAGAGAGTAACGTTACATATGACATATTGAGACGTACCTTGTACATTGTAGTCCTGACAGGGCGCCGGTTCCATGGGAAAGCCCCACTCACAGGCGAAGGCCTCAAAATGACACATACTGGGGTACATCGTGCCGTACTTGTCACAAACAGTCTGGAAAACAAGCGTTAACAACGAAACGTTACATTCATTCATCACGTATCATCGTTCAAACTGCAGCATTCTAATGAGTCTCTAGGTGGCGCAATTGCCACAATGGTTGTAATTTCGGCATTTTTTTCTTGTTGACAACCATGCTACCCTTACGACTTCATGTGCTACAGAGCTGAGTGGGAGAATGAGTTTTCTTTAACGTACACGCACAGTGCTTTAAACTGGATAAATAACATTTGAACAGTTTGCACAGCTCATAACTCACATCTTTAGCCTCACATTCCGCTCGTGGCCGGCAGTAGCACTGAGCCGACCCGGCGACTATCCCCGAGCAGTAGGCTCCCTGCATACCGCAGTCGTAGTTGGCACAGCCGGCCTCTGTCGTCATGGAAAAATGAAACAAAACTCAATTGTGAAGTGGTAAAATGGCAATGATATTCTTGTTTTAAATAGAATGACTTCATAATGAACGGAAAAGAGGATTATATGAACTATGATAACCAGTGACAACTGTGACTAAGGCCTCACTTTTCTTCCAGCTCTTCCAGCTAGGTCAACATGTAATCCTTAGATTGATGGCGACCTTTTTTTCTCATTCATAGAAGTCACTCTTGTTCAATATCTTTTTTATAACCTGGTTAGCATTAGTATTGGGGTGGTGGGACTTCGGTGCACTGTTATATGTCAGCTTTATGTGTTTATATGTTGATTGTAATTTGTTGTGCGATGCTGTTAAAATAAGTTATAAACTTGAGTGCAGTGCTAGGTATTATGGGAAGTGTGAAAGTCATGCATAGATTACACAGTCAGATATTAAAAGAGGACAGAGTTGTTACCTTGCTCGAACAGCGTGGTGGGTTGCGGACTGGGGTCCACACACATGGTGCCCCCGCAGCCGTTCACGCAGCACTTCAGGTCGCCCGGACAGTGGAAGTCCGATACGCAGGCGTCACGGGAACAGGTGGGGCTGGACTGGTGGAGAGGGAAGCCGAGCTGAGGACACACCCCGGGCTTGTCAAACTGGCCAACCTCGGGGATCACTAGAGGGGAAAGAACATTGCAGTGTCACGGTGACATAATGATTATAATTAGGAGACCTTGCATCTAAAGTTTGGTCGATCAGGCCAACTAAAGGCCAAATTCGTTAATTTCCTGGCAAAACTACTTGCAAATAACAAATGAATTGAAGGAAATGTGGATGTCTAGATCAAAGTTTTCTTCAGATAGTCAAGTTTTCGTGCCCTTGCCATGGACACTGGCGGGTCCTACAGGTGATCTCAATGCTAACGGCTGTCAGTAACCTATAGCTGTTGCGTATCGCCATCTAGCGGTTTTTCAAGGAAGTGTGCCATAATAATCTAGCGACTCCGTTCCGTAACCGTGACCAATGGAACCCACGCGTCAGAGCAGATTAAAGATGAGTAGCGCCAATTCTTGTTGCATATTAAATTCACAGATCAGAAGATTAAGAAGCAACAACTGTTCTATTTCAACCTGACCTTGATCTTATTGGATTCTAGCAGAACACTTTGACCGTGAACCCTGGTGACCCCCGCCGAATACTCTGAATACCCGGCCTAACGGACCGTGCGGACGGGGGGTTTGACAGGCTCTGGAGTAAGCCTTCAAGTAATGGAAGAAAGATGAAGATGAAGAACAGTTACAGTATTACAGCGTGTTTTGATCTCATGTTGGCGGAAGTATGGTATAACATATTTGGTGAGCAAGTCCACGTGTAAAGTGGATTGAAGCCCACTGCAACTTGAGAAACCTCCCGATCTTACTACATAGCATTCGATGCTGCCATTAACACAGTACGAAAACAGACATTTAAGCAAACTTTCCGCAATATGTAACGAAGTATTAAAGATGGGAAAATATGTCAGTGGACTTCACGACTTCGTAAAGGCTGCTGAAAGGCAAATTCCGCCTTTCCGTCACCTTTCAGTGACAGTGCGCTTAAATACGACGTTAACATATTTCATATCTTTACGCTTCCTTTAAAAATCCGCAAATAACAGTTTTGCAGTTCTAACAAACGACAAACGAGCGCCCATGTTTAACTGTAGCACACATAGTCTTCTGAAACAGGCTTGTCGCTATTTCAAGCCTCCCTATGTTGCTGTAAAGACAAGAATGTTTTGAAGTAGTCTGGAACCAGCGGATCAAATGTCTTTACCATGCGACCTACTTTGACATCGCGGTCCCAGTATTAGGTGTTAATAAAGAGCCGTTAACCCTCGGGATTTTGCCTTGTTCATGGGGGCATTTCTAACGGAAGACATCTGGATGTATATAATATAGAGTTAATAAGTAGGCTTTACATCTTTGAACAGGGCACTTTTTTCTGATCTCCCATAATGTACAACACAACAAAGCTAAGATAATGTCGTTGCAACATGTTCACATAGATGCATTAGTGAAATATCCGAACTGTGTATTGAAAAGTTGATTTTACAATTAGAACCATGTACATGTGTATAATGTAATCAAAGACGTTAAAAAGATATCATGACTTTGCTGAAACGTAGCAGTTGCACAACAAGTGTGTATGAGCCAAAAAGGGCTAAAAAGGCTCAACACGACCCAAATCTGAACAGGTGACAAAATATTATCAGATGTCTCAGTTTGAAAATCTGTCATTCCGTTTACTTGGCAAAGGAACATAGAAAACAAACATCTATTAGAAGACCTTACAGTGTACACTACAGCTTGCATAGCACTATTTTTTGATTGATTTATTTTATTGTTTGCAATTAACAAAACAGCCAATAATAATACAAAACAAGGATAAAACAGGTTCAGGAGGAGGGGAGAAGCATGGAATGCTTATACTAGGCCCTCCTCCTCTAAACTATACAAAATTGAATATAATCAATAAATGGAAATAATACAATAGAGAATGGAAATAATACAATAAGGATAATAAAAAAATGTACTGTAAAAGTTAATGACAATGAAATAAGGTAATGTAATGTATAAATAAAGAGCAATAATGATAATCATAATAATTGGTATGAGTTACAATAAGGCCATGTTGATTTGATTATATAGATGACATCCGCGCACGCATGAATTTTCGGCCGTTTCCAAAAAAAAAAAGTTTTCAACCATACTATAGATACACCACTAGTGTCACTCAACTACAAAACAACCTAGGCTGGCCGACACTCAAGAACAGAAGAACACATGCACGACTAACATTGCTTTACAACGCAATCAACAACTTAGTAGCCATACCCATACATGAATACACCTCCAGAAACACCAACCCAACAAGAGGACACCACCTACGTTTCACCATACCTTCATGCAAAACAGATATATACAGATTTAGTTTTTTCCCACACACAATCATTGAATGGAACCACCTACCAGCACACTTAGTCTCAGCACCAACTACAGACATCTTCAGGATGGGGTTGGCCCAACACATGGGCCTCCCCACTCCTCAGTCAGTCATTACTGACACATTGCGGCCATGTATATAGCACTGTTTATTATTGCACACAACACATTTTTGTTTGATTTTTTTCTTTGAACGGAGCACCTCACCCCACCGGCCGCAATTGTCAATGACCCTTGACGTGATGCCCCAGTTTGGGGCCTTGTCCAGTACAACATATAGAGATAGATACTGTAAATTGTACAAAACAGTTGCAAAATGAGCAAAAATATACCATAAGTTACAAAACAAAATTAATAAAAACAATACTAATGTCGTAGAATGCCAAAATCAAATGCAAAAAAAAACGAAATTGTAAAGAAATGAACTTGAAGACTAGATTATTCGCCAAACCATATTCTGTGCCATTTGCTCAACCCTCATGACCACGTAGATTTCATAATGAAAATATCTTTTTTTTTGCAAAACTTTTTTTTTTATTCGCACGCGCGCATCAGTTTTGGGGCTCCCGGAGGATGTCATCCATATAATCAAATCAACATGGCCTAAGAGAAAAACACGAAATGACACTACTACAGGGGGCTAGGTTCGTTTTCGTATCTAGTGTTGATCTGCACAAGACAACACCACATGTGAAATTCTCGCCTGTCCTGTACTGATCTAGACGTGTAGAGAAGTGTTGAAAACCTTGTCTAGACATGAGAGACATGTGTTATGTACCTTGTCAATAGGCGTAGATGTTATGACAAGCAGGCTTGTCGTTCTTTGACTGGCACATGTATAAAGAAATAGATATGCCAATTTAACTATACATGGAAAACGTGGTTTAACTTTGCAAAGACAGTTTATGATTCTTGGCTAGTCTTCAGTCGTTTCGAAATCTGACTCTGAATCGCGTATGGCAACATACATGAGTCCTTTACTAAGCTGCGCTAGGACCAGTCTTGGCACATGTACACCAGGGCATACCCTAACTTTTTGTGAATTTTTTTTTTGGGCATTTGCAATTCAATTAAAAAAAGGAAATAAAACATGACGTAAACTACAGTATAAACCTAAGAAGTAGGACCGTACATTTGTAAGCATGACAGCTTTATACTCAGTGTTCTAGCCAAGCCTTTTTAGCATAGGGGCCCCCTATGCTATGATTTTGACCCCCTATGCTATACTTTTAACCTCTATGCTGTCTTTTAACCAGCATAGGGGTGTTTTGGGAGGGAGAACCTTCATAAATCTTGCAAAAAAATGAAAATATAACTTAAGAAAGGGAAAACATTTAATTCACGAAATCTGTTCCTCATTAAACAAATACACTCTCTCAGGGGGTTATGAGTTTCAAAATATTTCGCCTAAATGCACAATTTGCACTACGAAAGTTGAATTGCTCTTCTGTACCTGACCCCTATGCTATGAAAAAAATCCTGGCTATAACACTGATACCAGCTCCGTTCCCGTACCCTGTAATTTCCATCTTCCTTCCCGCCCATTTCCTGCCACCATGTACACGTTATGAGTTCAGACAGGTGTGCGGGTGGTAGTACACATGGACAAACACGCCGCACAGAGATATGTTTCCCACCAAGACTCTCGTCTTACCGCGAGCCCCACAAAACCACCCGAGCTAAAAACATCCCCCAAAGATTAGAATCATTGCTGGGGAAGTTTACATTCTCGTCGGATCAAAGGGTTCGGTGGTTCCGTCTGCAAACAAGACTTTTTGCTTTGGGGATCTGGGGAACGAGACAGATTACTGACGACAAGCATGTCGTCTGATTGCACGGCCATTGTGTGAGGACTCACCCCTGGTATTAATGCACAGACATGGGCTCCTGCGAGCACCAACACAGGCTTAGAAAAAAGGGTCTCATTCATTCTGCAAAATTAAACACATTCTTTCGCAGCCCATGGTTATGCATAAGGATGGGACGGTCAACGATCTGCAACTGTTTTGTGAACTAACTTTTTTTCTTGAACGACTTGAGTAATCACTGAAGATTCGTGAAGAAAAAACTGCGAAGGAAAGAAGTAGGAGAAGATTGATCAGGATCTGATCAAGAAACCTTCGAGCTTGATTAAAAGATATCATTGACCTGTCACTGCAATCTATTAATTCATCAGGAGGAAGGACGAAGCGTGTTTGGAATACTAGTAGCAGCTGAGGGGCCGTCAGACTGATAAATCGCCGGTGTCGTGTAGTAGCTGAGCTAAAGGCCACAGCAGGTAAATTTTATGAATGACGTCCTCCGCAGACTCCAAATCTAATGCGTGCGGGAAAAAAAAAACAAGGCGGACCAAAAAAACAAGATTCCTACATTTTCAAATTTTGACTCAATCATTGTACAAGTTGTTTTGATTCAGTAGGAACATCACGTATACACGGCCGGCACCACATATCACTGCATCAAAGTAAGAAACAAAACATTAAATTAGAGCCTTTTCTTGTCTCCTCTCTTTTAGTTATCTGCCATCCACCTTCTGGCATGGTAACATACATCTTTGCCCATTTTCGGCATGTTGAGCACTGTCATCCATAAAAATTACTTGCTGTGGCCTAAAGAATTGTCACCAGGACATTGTCGGTTGATGACAGATCCGGATAGACGTGACCGAGGGGTCAGCCCTGTCGTGTATCAC